TAAATTTTTTTTCTATATGTTTTCAAATTATTTCATGCCCAAGAATCTGAAGGTGAGATCGATCTCCGCGTCACACATTATTCTAATGCATCTCTGGCAAGTTCTTTCCTCTTTATTTCCTTTTATTTATTATTTTGCATTCATAGTTTTGCTCCTTTTTCTATATTTAGCATTAATAACTTCAACAGATGCTGCCACAACACTTTCTGCAATAGAGTAACGTGAGATATTGATAGCGTTAACATCAGCACTAAGCGTGAGCACTTCATGGCAAGCCAATATACAGTCAAGCCAATATATTAGGTCACTGGAGACCAACATAGATTTTAAGGTTCTTGGCACAAGGTTTGTGAAGGCAGTTTGACACTAAGTGACTTGATCAGACATAGAGTTACTGTTCTACTGCTCTGACAATCTCACCCATGTGGTTAACTTTTTCTCCCCACTTCCCACCCACCCAGGCTCCCCCTAAATATATAGCATGCTCCTCCTGCTATTTGAGATTCTCACCCAATTACCTCTTCATTCCCCTAACATCTTACCAATAGCTGCTTCTCTGTTAACTCTTTCAGCCATCACCTCCAAACTTCCCCTGCTACCTCTTGTCTCTAATCCCCATGGTATCCTTTATATTGTAAGCTAAAGGGCCATCTAGCCAAGCACTTTGTATAAAAGAGCTCCAATGGCTAGATATCAGCTTACGGGCAGGGCTCTCTTTACCTCTTGTATTTGTCTGTGTATATTGTACATTTCTCCACTAATTGTACAGCGCTGCGGAATCTTTTGGCACTTTATAAATAGCGGTAATAAATAAATAAACTTAGAAAAAAAAGATTGAAGGCAATAAGTAAACCTGTATTTAGTGTATGTGTAGTTAGGCTCAAGCCTAAGTAATTTATAACATAGGATGCAATCAGGGCCAGATTGGCATGTTATAATTCCTGCCCTGTATCCAAAAAAATAAACAATAAAAGTGAGTTTGAAGAATTTATAACCAGATCTTGCAGGCATAAAAATCTAAAACCATATACAGGTAGTTCCCGACTTTACAAACTAATTGGTTCCGAAGTCTAATTCATAAAGTAAGAGTTCATTAAGTGAGAACTAATTTCCCATAGACTGCAATTTAATAAACATGGGTGCCCTTCCTGACCAGTAAATGTTTCCATTGTAAACCTTAATTATGAAGTACACATACAAGATGAAAGCACATCACACACATATATGTTGTAGGAACATTAAAGGAAGGCATATCATATTAAAATCTTCATCAAATTAGACATCTTCCTCCTCAATGCACTTGTTGAATGTAGCACTTCACTTGTTTCTGGTTCGTTTGAGACGCTCCATGTGTCTCATTAACCCTTCATAGCAACTCCAGGTGTCTCATTCCGCCTCCCAGTGTCTCATTACCCCCTCCAGGTGTTTCATTACCCCCTCCCAGCCCCTCCAGGTGTCTCACTCCCCCTCCCAGCCCCTCAATGTGTCTCAACCCCCTCTCCAAGTGTCTCATCCTCCCAAGCCCCTTCATTTGTTTCATTCACCGCTCCCAGCCCATCCATGTGTCCTATTTCTCCCCTCCCTGTCCATGTGTCTCTCCCTTCCTGTACCTGCCCATGTGTCTCTCCCTTCTCCCCTCCTGTATCTGCCCATGTGTCTCTCCCCCCTTCCTTCCTGTACCTGCCAATGTGTCTCTAACCCGCCCCTCCTGTACCTGTCCATGTGCGTCTCCTCCCTGTTTATGTTTTGTGAGGTGTTACATTTAGTGTAAGTGAAAATGTTGTATAGTTTACGGCATGTGGAGTTTGAAGGGTTATTTCAAAAGTGCTCTCCCTCCTATGTCTTCTGTAGTCCAGCCAGACTCCTATGATTGATAACTGAGATGCAGACGCTGTTACTCTGTGTGCATCCATCAATGCTGTTTTTGCTCCTGCTGCAAAGCATTTCCTGTGGGAGAGGTTACTAGTGGGCAGATGGGAAGTGATCACTTCCTGTCCAGCATCACACACAGACACTAAGCTCCAAAAAGGCTCATAAGCGCTGAAATACAGGTTTACACCCGTAATATCTAGAAGGTGTTTTACACATCTCGGTCTACCCGCTTTTACATTCTAGCTTCTAATGTAGCGATGTTGTCACTGACACCTTAATAAATGAATGTTAGGGGAAACCCACAGTGTTTCCTAGGCAACAGAAGAGGAAAGCCTTAAAAATAGATATTAATAACAATGTATGTGCTAGGAACTATATATAGTATTTATGTGAGCTATACAGAAACAAATATATATTCTACTAGTACTTAATTACTTACAACTTAAAGGACCATTCCAGGCACCATAACAATCAGAATTAAGGTGTTATAATGCAAGGAGGTCTGGGCACCGGCTTACCTGAAGAGTTTAAACCATTAACAAATGGTTTAACCCCAAAGTATTAAATCATGTGCCCGATTGGTCTGTCACTTCAGTTTGAGTCCGAGACTTCAATCAGGAAGTCTCAGACTGTGTGCCACTGATAATCTGACAGGCTGACAGCGTCAGCTGATCCTATTAGTAGCTCTCTATTAACAAAATACATCATACTTTTTTTCATTTTGTTTTGTGAATAGAGTGTTACTGATCAATGGTGATCGGTCCGAGGCGTCCTGCTTGAAACTTCAGACTGTACTTGAAGTAAATAGGCAGAGTGATCAGATACAAAGTTGTTATGGTTAAGAATTTCTACTCGTCAGTGGAGGACCCTTTTTAATGCTCCATTCCACAGCTAAGGCGTATGCTCTAAATTCTTATTCTGAACCCCTGGTCATAGGGAGTGAAAGAGGCATAATGCTGAGTCCTCATGCTTAATGCTTTGCGTGCCGAATAGGTTGCAATCCTGACACTCAAAGGAACAAGAGATGATTTTTGGATCTGCATTTATTCATTGTTCAGATTTCCTCAGGAAGCAAATACTTATATTGAAAACTGAACAAACCAAATTGCATTATAAATGAAATTCAGATAAAATGAAACAGGACAAAATTCCAGCAATTATTCAGGCAAAAACCAATTCTTTGTGTCTGTGCTTAAAATATTGTTCTAATGCTCTAAGAATCTTTAGGGAACATAGACTGGGAGGTCAGACTCAGAACAGAAGCTAATCAACATTCTATTGATCGTTTTATTTACTAACTAGATAATGGAGGGATAGTGTGCAAACACATGTACAATTAGAGCAGAGAAATCCTTTTATCAGAGCTATCACACTGAGTAACATGCCTCTGGGTAAAGCTAGAACTGTTGATACCGGAGAAACTGACGGAAGCAAAGCACAGAGGGATGGACACAGGTTTCTTCAGGAAGGAAGAGATTCTTTATTGGATCACCGATCGGGACTCAGAGGGACTAATGTCACCAAAAATACAGCAAGTTCTGAGCCCTGAACAATAGTGCAGGCTCCCTATATAGGCACATAACTCCTCCCATATTAAGCTCCACCCGCACATTCTCTTGACCAATCATTACAAATAAGAATTAACTTCCTGCTTGACCGCATGGCTTGTCCAGCACAATGGAGGAGGGGAATACTACATCCTGTATTCTTGCACATGCTCCGTACACTACTGATCGTATCTTGCCTCGTGCAACCAACTGATCGATACGTCAGCATATGCACGTACACATGCCACGTGGTAATCTCGGCCTACTAAATTTATTTTTACCGAGATTCCACCACATTCCCCCCTTTGATGCCTCTTGATATTTTACAATTACTTGAGGCATCACTTAACCTTGGTTTGCATACACCACAAGTTACCTTTGAACCAGACCAGACTTATCCTATGATGTGAATCTTCAACACTCGTCTTCCTGCATTGGTTCTCCCTGATCTAGAGCCTTATATTTATAAATTGCCATTATCTGTGCAGCAGCCTTCCTCTCTGCTATATTTTCTATCAGGCTTTGCACAGACCTAACTACTAAGGGTATAAGACACGGCAGGAGTAGACACAACATTAAAATCAGTAGGACTCCACCTACCACTGCCTTAAGCCCTCCAAACCACTCATACCAGCTACCAAACCAACTACTTGGATTGTACCCTTTCCATACCTGAGTAGGCACATGCGCTAGTTTAACCATATGGCTAGTAAGCTCAGCTATTGCTTGCCCTTCGTCATCTATTTGAAGACAGCAATTGCTCAGGTTAAACTTCCCACATACACCTCCCTCTACTGCCAAAAGATAATCCAAGGCTAATCTATTTTGGTAAACTGCTGTCCTCATCCTGGTATTATGCTTCGCTAGAAGATTGAGCGCTTGTGATGTCTCGTTAGTAATGATCTCAACCACCGCCTGTAACCTTATAATGCGGTTGAGCATATAAATAGGGGTTCTATAACCAAAGGTACCATCCTCTGCCCACGTGGCTGGCCCATAATAATCTATAATACGCTGGGGAGGCCATTCATTATCTTCCCAGGCACCTATCTCTATGGGTCCCCTTTTCTTCCTATGATTCACATCATACACTTTAACACCTAAAGTCTCACCTGTTTCAATAGGCAACAAGAAGAAGGATGGTTTCAACATACCCAACACACATGCCCCTTCCCAGTCCTGTGGTAACTCCGAATAGGCCTTCTTACCACAGATCCAGTACAAATTCGCTGGGGCTCTCCAGTTAGATGTGATGGATAGATCAAACCATACGTCCTTTAAATTGGCATATCTTGCAAACGGGTTAGATGGTTCTGAGACATTTGAAGCCGACCACCAAGTTGTATTCTTTGTATCATCATCATAAGCTTTTTGCCCTAGACAAGTTAATTCTCCTACAGAAGTATTATACATCATTCCTTTCCTCGCTATGCAAACATAACCTATGATGGAGGTCTTCAATCTCCACTCAGATTTACCTCTAACACTCATATGATAGTCGGCTTGTGTAGATATTAATTGGTCAACTGCCTCAGAACCGGACATTACCTCCTTTGCTTCCCAAGGCCATTGGTCTCCCATGTTAGTACCTCCACACACATAGCAGTTGGTAACATTAAGACTACCGGCAATACTCTCGGCTAAATCAATGAACAAGTTTTTAGCATTATGGGGGATCTTATTATCTATGCTCATCTCTTCATAAAAGGAATGGTATACTTGATGAGTTTGGGAGGTTACCGTATCAGTCTCTATCCCTATAAACAATATTGTCCCAGGGTCTAAACCTGTCCCATATATTTGAAACCCAAATAAATTACCATATTTATCCAAGAACTTGTCAGGGTTATTTATAAGTATATGGATTGGATTGCATTCCATAGACTTACAATATGGATCAATAGGCAACTTAGTCACAATCATGTCCTTGTCTACCGTCTGTCCCCAAGTCGCCCACCCCACACAAGACCAATATGGACAGAAGTTATAATCTCTATTTGGACATCTTGGACTTACATATTTATTTTTACTACTGGGACAAATATATTTATCGTTAGACCCATACGTCCTCTCCCATCTAAGATCCCCACATACATTCCACGGCTTTCTACCACTTGATATTGCTTTACACGCATCAAATAGCAGAGCACCTGAAGAATATACGGATTTTAATACCGTCTTATTAATTAGGGTCCCCTGAGGATCTCCATTTCTGAGAGTCAACCAAATTGTACGGGGTTGATACTCAGGACTGAAGCACTTAGGTTCTCCTACTCCTAAATGACACACTCTATATTCTATATTTAAGTATCTACATCTTGATACATCTCCTTTACACTCATATTGCGAATGCCAAATTAGGGTCTGGGATATATGGTTACCTGTTCTTGTAGTCTTAATGCATACCTCACAGCTAGGAGTGTTGGTACCTCTACCTTCCTGAATATAAAAATACACATAAATAAACATTATTAAAAATACATCTTTCGTCGTCATCCTCAGTCTTCGTCCGTGCGAAGGCACCTCAGCTTCCAGGATGTAAGGGCTGCAGGGAATGGAGTTCTGCTCGTCTTCACAGGGGTCCCCTCAAGACTTTCCCTGACTTATACACTCGTTGGTGAGTGGACAGGCTTTATTATGGCCTTCTCACTCACTTACCAAGTCTCTGAAACAATAAAATTTGTAATCCACAAGGTTCCTCGTCACTCCGACTGAGTCGTGCGTTTTAACCGGATCTTGCAGGGATTCTCTGGATTTGCTGTAACTTGCCAGGAATCGGCTGCTGCTGGTTTAACCCTGGAGTGATGTATCCACGGAGCCACTTCGGCTACTTTTATCGCTGTAGGGGTAGACAGAAGAACAACATAAGGACCTCTCCACTTGGGCCCTAACGGCACATTATTCCACTCTTTAATCCACACTTGGTCGCCTGGGTGGTAACTATGAATTGGGGGATAAATATTCACAGGTAATCTATCTTGTACCCATTTCTGTACCTCCTCCATAGTCTTACCCAACTCTACAACCTGCTGCCGGGTAATTCCTTCTCCCAACTGACTCAAATCCCCCTTAAGTTACCAAGCATGGGAGGTGGTCGCCCGTACATGATTTCAAAAGGAGAGAGGCCCATCCTTCTGGTAGGTGTACTACGGATTCGCAATAGAGCTATGGGCAAGAGAACGTTCCACTTAAGTTGGGTTTCCTGACACATTTTAGCCAACTGATTCTTAATAGTTCTATTCATTCTCTCTACCTTACCAGAACTCTGGGGTCTATATGCCGTATGAAGCCTCCACTTTATACCAAGCATATGAGTCAGTTGTTGTAGGCACTGATGAACAAAAGCTGGACCATTGTCCGATCCTATAGAGCAGGGTAGTCCATATCGGGGTATTATTTCTCGTAGCAGGAATCTCACGACTTCTCCTGCTTTCTCTGTACGGGTAGGACATGCTTCTACCCAGCCTGAATAGGTGCACACCACTACCAGAAGGTAGCGATGTCCACCCGATTTAGGCATCACTGTATAGTCAATTTGTAAATCGGACATGGGAAGTCCCCCCATAAACTGGACTCCTGGTGGCTTTACTGGTGCTTGTCTTGCATTATTTTTAGCACACGTTACACATCTACGTACAATGGCCTGAGTCAAGTTGGACAATCTTGGTATGTAGAAATGTTTTCTGAGAGATTCTTCTGTACTGTCTCTCCCAGGATGTGTCCCGTTATGATAGTTTTGGACAATTTCTACCGCTAGTGATGCTGGAATAACTATTCTTCCATCTTCTAACTGATACCATTTGTTCTCCAAATACTTTTCAGGTTCAGTCCTTAACCACTCCTCTTCTTGAGCTGTATAAATTGGAGTCCATTGAGACAGTGGAGTTGGTATAAGAGCAGCTATATGCCCCACATATTCCTGTCTTCCTGATTCAGCAGCACGCTTAGCTGCACAATCTGCCATCCGATTCCCTTTGGTTACATCACCATCTCCTCTCAGATGCGCCCGACAATGTATAATACCGACTTCTTTCGGCTCCCACACTGCTTCCAATGGTTGTAGGATCTCAGCTGCGTATTTGATTTCTTTGCCTTCTGAATTCAATAGTCCTCTTTCTTTATACAAAGCTCCGTGGGCATGAGTGGTTAAAAACGCATACTTGGAGTCCGTGTAGATGTTCACTCTTAAACCTTCAGCCAATTGTAGCGCTCGTGTCAGTGCTATCAATTCTGCCTTTTGTGCTGATGTTCCTTTTGCCAGTGGCCGAGCTTCTATCACCTTGTCTATCGTTGTTACTGCATATCCTGCATAGCGGATCCCTTCTTTTACATAGCTACTGCCGTCGGTGTAATATTGAACATCAGGGTTCTGGATGGGAAAATCACGAAGATCTGGTCTACTTGAAAATACTTCATCCATTACTTCCAAACAATCATGTTGACTTTCAGTAGGTTGTGGCAAAAGGGTAGCTGGATTTAAGGTATTTACATTCTCTAAATGCACTCTTGGGTTTTCACACAACATTGCTTGATACTTGGTCATACGGCTGTTACTAAACCAATGATTTCCTTTGTAATCCAACAACGTCTGTACTGCATGTGGAACACGTACATAAAGTTCTTGACCCAGAGTGAGTTTATCGGCTTCAGCTACTAGCAGGGCGGCTGCAGCTACAGCTCTTAGACAAGGTGGAAGTCCGCTGGCCACTGCATCCAGTTGCTTAGACATGTAGGCAACGGGTCTTTGCCATGATCCCAAGTACTGTGTCAATACTCCCACAGCCATTCTTCTTTGCTCATGTACATACAGGTAGAATGGCCGTGTGTGGTCAGGTAGTCCTAATGCTGGGGCACTCATCAAAGCCCTCTTCACATCTTCGAATGCCGTTTGCTGTTCTTGAGTCCATAAGAAGGGGTCGTGCTCTGTACCTTTGATAGCTGCATACAGAGGTTTTGCCAGTATCGCGTAGCTGGAAATCCATATCCTACAGAAGCCTGCTGCCCCCAAGAATTCTCGCACTTGTCTTCTATTCCTGGGTATCGGTATTTGGCACACAGCTTCTTTTCTCTCTGGCCCCATAATTCTTTGACCTTCAGAGATATGGAATCCCAGATATTTGACGGTTGGCAAACACAACTGAGCCTTCCTTCTAGACACCTTGTATCCTGCCTTCCAGAGAATGTGTAGTAGATCGTGCGTTGCTTGCTGACATACTTCCTTTGTAACTGCTGCTATCAACAAGTCATCTACATATTGTAATAATACACACTCTCCTGGGATAGACTCAAAATCTAGTAGATCTTGACTTAGAGCTGAACCAAATAGGGTTGGTGAATTTTTAAACCCCTGGGGCAATCTTGTCCAGGTCATTTGGCGTTTCGAGCCCGTTACAGCATTTTCCCATTGGAAAGCAAAGATACATTGGCTCTCTACGGCAATTCAGAGGCAAAAGAAGGCATCTTTGAGATCTAAGACTGTAAAGTAAGTAGCCCCGCCCGGAATTAAAGCAAGCAGGTTATACGGATTGGGCACGACTGGATGTATACTAACAACCGCATCATTGACTGCTCTCAAGTCCTGCACAGGTCGATACTCATCTGTACCGGGCCTTTGAACAGGCAGCAATGGGGTGTTCCAGGGGGAAGTACAGAATTTTAGGATACCATACCGTATGAACTTATCCAGATAAGATTGGATGTTCTTCTTAGCCTTCTGCGGAATATGATATTATCTCAGGCTTACTGGATAAACCCCAAGTTTTAGTTCGATTTTAATAGGTGGAATATTGCGGGCCAGTCCTGGTGGGTTGTTCTCTGCCCAAACTCCTGGTATGTTAAATAAGGATTCATCACTCCTCGGGTTTTGGCTAGTCAACACTGTATAAAGTCGCCACTCTTCTTCCTTTGGTACGGACAATGTCATAATACCTGAGGGTCCATTAAACTTTAAGGATGTTGTTCCATTTGGTAGGAACGTAATCTGCGCTTGTAATTTGGATAGCATATCACGTCCCAGCAATTGGACTGGACACTCAGGCATATAAAGGAATTGATGTTTTACTACGTGGCCTCCCAATGTACAGAGTCGACTTTTAAGAACCGGTTTTTCAGCACTTCTTCCAGTTGCTCCTATTACAGTAATAGTTCTTCCAGATGGAGGAGCAACTTGATTAGTCACCACCGAATGTTCAGCACCAGTGTCGATCATGAACGCACTCCTTTTTCCCCCTATTGATACATCGACCATAGGCTCCGCTCGACCAAGGGGGATGGAGCCCGGTCGGTATCAATAGTCCTCCATGACCGTGTCAGCCAATCCCACAAAGTCCCTACCTTCTCTATCGCGGGACCTTTGCGCTGCTGGATAGTACCTATCTTCCCTTACACTTCCTCTGTTCCCATTACTCCCTCCGGGGCCTCCTCTACCTCTCACTCTGCCTCTAAAGTTTCCGTAACCTGCCCTGGGTAAGTCTCTCTCATACTGCTCTCTTTGCGGACACTCGTTCCTCCAATGCCCTTCTTCCTTACAGTACGCGCACTGATTCCTACTCAAAGGCTCCCTATTCCATCTACCATCGCCTCTATCTGGGCCCCGTCTATCTACGCCTGCGATCGCTACCGCTAGCATATCTGCCTTTCTACGCATCTTGCGCTCTTCCTCTTTCTTGCTTTCTGTTTCCCTATTCATATATACTTTGTTCGCTACCTCCATTAGTTGGGTGATAGACATACCTGCAAACCCTTCTAATTTCTGTAGCTTGCGCTTAATATCTCCGTAAGCTTGGCTGACAAAGGCGGAGTTTACCATTCGGGAATTATCAGCGTCTTCCGGATTAAAGGGGGTATACAAGCGGTATGCCTCCAATAATCGGTCATAAAAGACACTGGGCGCTTCATCACTTTTCT